TGTCGACAAGCACTTAATTTAAAACTGCAATGTAAAATAAAAATTTTATTATTTTTTATTATGCGTTATTACTACTTCCGTATTACATTCTATTGCATCGGTAAGTGTTTCTGTAAACTTACCGTAAATTGAATTGCATTAAATGGAAAAATGTCGCAATTATTACAGCTAAAGTTATCACATTTCCTTAAATAATATAAAAAAGAATTTTTATTTTACGTTAGTTGACGTCTTTATGACATAACTAATGCTAGTATTTTTTTATATAAAAATACCCTTGTTATCAAATAATAAAAATGACTTACGCATAACGATGATCGAGAATTTAAATATTGCTAAAAGTTTTGAATTTTATGTTTAAAATAAAGGTTATAGTTAAAAAGTATTTTGTTTTTTCATTATTTTAACTATAAGTTTTTGTTTATATATATATATACATAAATATATAATATATGTATACATGTATATGTTATATATATATATAGATATATATATATATATATACATATATATATATATATATATATATATATATATATATATATATATATATATATATATATATATATATATATATATATATATATATATATATATATATATATATATATATATATATATAAAGATATATATATATGTACATATATATACATATATATTTATGTATATATATATATATATATATATATATATTTATATATATATATATATATATATATATATATATATATATATAAATATATGTATATATATATATATATATATATATATATATATATATATATATATATATATATATATATATATATATATATATATATGTATATATATATATATATATATATATATATATATATATATATATATATATATTTATATATATATATATATATATATATATATATATATATATATATATATATTTTATATATATATATATATATATATATATATATATATATATATAATTTATATATATATATATATATATATATATATATATATATATATATATATATATATATATATATATATATATATATATATATATATATATATATATATATATATATATATATATATATATATATATATATATATATATATATATATATATATATATATATATATATATATATACATATACATATACATATACATGAGAATGAGCATTAAATTTAAAAGTTTTATTTAGCAATTTTAAAGACGTTGATCAAAACATCAGTTATCTAATTGAAACGGGAAGTAATTTTTTAAGGAAATAATTTAACATGGATGATTACACTATTTTCATATAGTTTTTATTGTAGAGTGTGGACATTTGCAATTGTTGAATTAATAATTCTACTTTTGTTATATATATTTTTTAAGAATTCCAAAAAGGAGTAATGAAATTTATGGGAGATGTAAAGCTTTTCATGAATGACATGAACAAATTTATGGGAAAGGAATTAAGTAGTCGTGTTGAATATAATCGAGAAAATTTAAAACAACTCCATGATATTGATGAATTTTTACAGTTTGAAGAAAAACTTGCTTTTCCTGTATTCCGAGCCAAAATTGTATAATACAGATTTTACCTTATTATTATTATTGTTACTTTTATTAAATTTGAGTTTTTTAAAGATATTGAACATTTATTTAGCGAAAACTTAAGTAATACCATTTTTTTCAACATTCAATAATTTGTATCAAGTTTTTTTACATAACATTTAATTTTGTTTTTAGTTCATTATTTAAGTTCTTTATTTTTTGTGCGTGTATCTTAGGTTGAGCATCTTAAACAAGTTGGGGGAGTTGATGGTAAAGATGCAACTTGAAGAATAACGGATACACTTTTTTATGTTGAGCTGCAATCAAAGCTTAACATGAAAGGAACGGGTCACAAATATGGAATTGAAGATAAATTGATATGGAAAGTAATGAAAGCTGATTCAATTGTTTCGATTTTTAAATACTTAATAACTTTATGTTTTGTAATATATATATATATATATATATATATACATACATATATATATATATATATATATATATATATATATATATATATATATATATATATATATATATATATATATATATATATATATATATATATATATATATATATATATATATATATATATATATATACATTTTGTTATTTGCATTTCAAAAATTATATCTTTTTGCTAAAGAATTGTATTATTTATAATCAATTTAAAATGTTTTTGTTTTTAGAAAGCGTACTGGCCATTTTTCCACTAGTAAGCGAAGCTGAAATTCGTCAAAAAGTCAGCGTTAAATTGAAGAATGCTCCAGGTAGAAAAAGTTGAGGAGGACGAAATGCTAAAAAAATGCAAAATCGTTTATAGTAAAATATTATATGCAATAAATCCATTGTTTACTAGTTACTTCTTTTTTACTTTTTTTAATCACACTATAACATTAGTTTTTGAAACAGGTGTTACTGTGTTTGTTTTAAAGTTTGATCTAGTAAGCGGGGGGTAAGCAATCGATTGATTTTCTAACTTATTCTTACTTAATCACTTTTTAAATCTGAACAGAAGCTTAAGTCCAGTCGTCTTCTAGAGATCTATTTGAAGTCAAGGCATTTCAGTGTAATGACCGGTCTCTATTGTCGGAGCGTTGAAAACCTTAATATAGATACGTTTAAAAATACAACTGCAATCTTGTGTAAATAATGACGCTTTTAGAAAGTATGTCTTTTAAGACCTTTAAAAAGATGTTTAATACCTGTTGAAAATATGCAAAAATGACATCTACCAACTAAGGTCTTCTAGACATCTAAAAATAGCAACTTAAACACGTCTTTTCAAAAATATCTACAAGATGTTATTAGAAGATGTCTTAAAGACATCTATTCAAAGACGTCTTTTACCACTATGATCTAAACGTCTTTAATGCGCCTTTTAGACGTTATTTAAAGATGTTTTAAAGACGTCTATACAAAACGTCTTTTAGCCTTATGATCTAGACGTCTATGAATGCGCCTTTTAGACTTGATTAAAGACATCTTTTAAATGTCTTTTAGACGTCTTTTTGTTTACTGGGATGATTTCAACTTTATGATTAAATGACATTTAATCATAAAGTTGAAAAGTTTAATCATAGACCTAAAATTTTAACGTCTAACATTCAAATATCAAAATAAACCTTATATATTTCAGGGTGTAAGTGTTGAGGTACGTCCGACAATGTTTTTTTTATAAATTAAATCGGTTACTTAAAATTTAAATATTGAAAACTTAACTAAATAAAAAGATTAATTATAGAAAAAGATAATGTTAGATACGCCCATTGTTTTATTTTGTCATGTGTTAATAGTTAAAACATATTTCACCTCATGATTACCGCAAAACAAAAGATTCTGACTAAGATTTTACTTAGGGTATACTTTGGGTACGTCCAAAATTTTTTAGGGTATACTTTGGGTACGTAAAGTTTTCATAAGTAATGAAATTAATATCTTGCTTTTTGAACAAAAAAAAAATTTAAATCTTTTTTATCGTTTAATAAAATAGTATTGGGTACGTTCATTAATCCTTATAATTAAATATTATTTATTTATTATTACTTCAACCTCCAGTTAAGTAAATTATTTTAATTTAAACTTGAAAAACCGCTTTCAACAAGAAGCAAAATTTTATTTTTTTTATAAGTCTTTACATAATGATAATAAAACGTAAATTTAATTTACTTGACGGTTAAGTAAAAAAGTATTTTTATCCGCAACATTAAAATATTATAACAATTTTTTTTTTTAGAGTTTTAATTTTGTTTTGGGTGCGTCAACAGACGTTCTAGATATAACTTAGATCCGCCCCTGAGTATAGATAAAAAAAGTAAAATTTTATATCTAATCTATGTTTATCGATTTCCGTGTCCTCATAGGTAAAAAAAGACTTTTCTTTGTCTGATTTATTTGAACCGTTATTCAAGTAGTTGTTTGTCTTTAATAACACAATTGTACTTATTTAATTGGAATAACCTACAAAAAACCCGATGATACAGTTTCAGTGAATATTGGTTCTATATATTTATAGAAACTCATTCATGTTAAAGTTTTTGTTTTAGAGCTTTAGCATATTAATTTTAAGCGTCAAAATTAAGTTTTTAATTATAGAAAAACTCAAAAGAAACCTTATGGAAAGTCACTAGTTTTGAACATCAGACCTCAGAAATGTTTTGTTTGAACTTTTTTGTGTGTATATATTAAGGTGCTCCCAGATGCTCTTAGAAGTTATCAATATATTAAGTCACGCTCTATAAGGATGAAGGAGGAATAGTGATTTTGTGACGACTTGTACGGGACTTGATGTTAAAGTGTTGCAATATTGTGACAAGGTAGAGGGAGGGGGTTTGGTTTGAAAGAGGACTTCTTATGGTCTTATCACCAAGCACCACAAAAGACCATTTAACAAGAAATTTTTTTTTACCAGCGTCGTTTTTTGATTAAGAGCCGGCCTCTAACTTCGGACCACTGGGTTCTGAGCCACGACTACCATCAACTTACAATTTTTATCAATTAACTATTTATATCAAGTAGCTATTTAAAACCAGGATAAAAAGTTGTGATTGAGCCGGGGTTGAATAAATGTAAATATAGATTTTTGAATACTTAAGTTATAGTAAAAAGTTTCTAAATTATCAATGTTAGATTTTAAGATCAAGATAAGATTTTAAGATCGATATAAGATTACTTGTAAGATTTATAAAGTATTTAAATATGTCAAGCAGAGCAGCGGAAAAATATCTACAAAGCAAAAGGTCAATGATTTAGGTTTTTTTTTTTCAAAATTGAATTTTGAAAATAAAAAAAAGGTGTATAAAAGTGTGACTATTTAAAAACATATCAATACTCCGATTTCTAAAATTTTAGTTAATTGTCGAATAAAAAAATGTATATAAAAACATAAGCTAAAGAGGCATATTTATTAATAAGTTTACATAACAAATTTCGTTTACTTTTGTATAAATAAAAAAATGTTACTTACGTTTCTGTAAGGTTCATTTCCAATTAGTGGAGTTGAAGGACCATATTGCTGAGATTGATAACTTTGAGATGCAGATACTTGAGGTAATGCTTGGACATAAGGAGGTTGCTCAGCTTATGTACAAAAAACGACAATAAAATTTTTTTTGTCTATCATTTGTGAAAACTTTTATAATTAGAAAAAATTATTGAAAAAAAAAAGTATATGACGAAATATGAAAAATAATTAAATGATGGTAAAAATAAATTGTTTTATTTTTTTGTCGTTTAAAATTTGTATCTAATAAAATAATTTTAATAACTTTAAAATAAATTACCAAATTTAGGACACTAACATATGCATGTTTATACTAAATTTAGAGGTAACAACTAACATAGTTATTTCTTACTAATTCAGAGTATTTATCAATTAGTAGGATAACTTAAACTAAAAAACTGTAATCTTTTAAATATCAAATAATTGTATACCAAGACTTCTCAGCTTTTATAGTGATTTTTTGTATGATAGATTTAACAATTGAACCTCGGAAAATAAATAAACATTCAGAATAAACCATTTCATATTGAGGACCAAAACTATAAAATACCTTTCATAAAGTAATTCGAGGGTATGGTAAATTCTTTAATTTCATTTAAGTTTATAATAAAAAAATTAATTCTTAAAACTTTAGAGACGTTTTTGATTAAAGATGTTTTAATAATTCTTATTAAATTTGTTTTTATTTCAATCTTAACTTTTTTTTGTTGAACAATAATGGTATTAACTTACGATAATAAGCATAAGAATATTCATATATGGTGATAAAAGGCACCTGGTGGCAAAGATAGGCACTACAAAAATCGAATTTTTTTTTAATCTACTATTCAGGAGCAACAAGTTATCACTATCCAAAGTAAAAAAAAAAATTATCATATATCCTAGTAAGCAAAATCTAAAATTGATTTTAAATGAACAAATAACCGGGGGAAGACTGCATACCTGAATAATAGTCCTAAAATTATTAAAAAAAAAAAAAAAAGACAAAGCAATATAAAATGATCAAGGTAAAAATTAGAACAATTATATTTAAACTAGAAAAAATTAATACATAAACTTAAAGCTTTGTCATGAAAAAAAAGACTGCAATAAGGAATGTTCAACAAGTAAATATGAAATTGAGTTTGTATCTGAAACTATAGGATCTTTTTATGAAGAACATTACAATCTTTCTCTAAAGAACTGTGAATTAGCTGCCAAATTATCAACTCTAAATGTAGTTGTATATGTGCAAGTCTATTTAAAAAAAAATGAAAAATTTATATCATTCTATATCTATCGATTTCTGTGTCGTTATTGGTAAAAAAAAGACTTTCATTGTCTTATTTATAAACGTTTTTGATTAAAGATTCTCTATACAATTGTTGTTAAAATTGTTCTTGCTTTAAATTTGTGTTATGCTTTAAATTTTTCTTGTTCCATAACAGTCGCATAAAAGAACTATGCTTTTTATTAAAACATTTTATGGACGTTTTTAAATAGTTACAACATTCTTTTAAAGTTTGGCTAAAGAAATTCTTTGAAAAGATTTCAGTGACATATAGTCATTCTCATGTTCTTTGATCATCTGTCAGTTTTATTTTTATACTTTATATCACAAAGTTGTAAAAATTTTGTTATATGTGAAAAAAAAAGAAAAAAATAACTTTCTATATTTAAAAACTACATAAGACTATTTACTAAGTTTACTTCATTTTCATTAGTTATGTTGCTAATCTTATATGCATTTGTAACATTCTTTATTAACATTGGTAATGTTAATAAACTGATTTAAAAAAAAATCATTACGAGCATTAAATTAAAACTAGTTTAGATTTATTTATTTATCATTAAAACTAATTTTAATTATTGGTTTGTATTTTACCAAGTTGCTGATTTTACATGTGTTTGTAGCATTTATTTATATTTTAATTTCAGATTTAAATAGAAGGAAAGGTTAATACAGTTAGAGCATTCCTGGATAAAAACCTCGTAGATTCTCAATTTTATCTAATTTAGTTTTAATATTATATATTGACACATTATACACTAGGGTGGAGTGAAAAAACCTTTTTTTAAAAATTGATTTGAGCTGGGTTTGGAAAAGTTGCCTTTGGGTACAAAATGAACTGCAGTAAAAGCCCCAAGGCACTTAAAAATTTGAGTTTTTTGTTAATTTTGCAATTTTTGGTTTAAAAAATTATAATTTCCTATCATTGCAAATTCATGTTGGCTGGGTATGAAAAAGTTGCCTTTTAGTTTAAGGTAAACTGTGGTAAAAGCATTTTGCCCTAGGTTAATTTTTAGGTCTTCCCCAAAGCTCTCGAAAATATGGGTTTTTCGTACATTTTGTTTTTGGCGAAAATTTAATAATTTCCTATAATTGCAAATTCATGTTGGCTGGGTATGCAAAAGTAGCCTTTTAGTACAAGGTAAACTGTGGTTAAAGCATTTGGCCCTAGGTTAATAATTAGGTCTGCCCCAAGCCACTTGAAAAGTGAGTACTTTAATTTAAATCCATACAAAACCACTTTCGTACATATTTCAGATTGTTAATAGGCATATTAAATAACATTACAAATGTATAATATATCCAAGAACTTCACAGTTGTTTAAATCTTTATAATTGAAACTGAGACTTAGTGTTGAAAGTTTTTGTCTTTGATCTCGATTCCAGTGTGGCACGAATCATTCCATCTCTGCGATCAAAACCGCAAACAGTAGCTGATGCTTTAGTAACAAGTTTAACGTGTCTTTCAGTTGACTGAGTGTGACATGAAAACTCTGGAATGTTTAAAACTGGTTCAGTCAATGAAACACCATTTACAAATGACTTTATTTCATGAGTTGAGATTTTCTTTGCAGCAGGAAGCTCGCTTTTCTGGACAACACTCCAGTCGATTAGATTAGTGTAGTCATCTGCTTCGAAATTAAGTTTCAACACACGAAAGCGTCTAGTGACTGACTGTTTTTTTCCCTTGCACCAAGGATTCTTCTGAATGGTAATTTCCTTATGTGTTCGCGCTCATCAGTCAACATTGCAAGTAGGATGTTTTCGTAATGACTGAAATAAGCATTTCTCTGAATTACTTCATCCACAATACATCTTAAGTCATTTTTAAGGTACCTTGAAAAGTTTATCATTCTTCATAGATGGAGTGCCCCTTGATAGATCTTCATAGATGGAGTGCCCTTGAAAAGTTTATCATTCTTCATAGATGGAGTGCCCCTTGAGTACAAGATGATTTCGTCTTGATATAAAACTAAGTAGGAGCGTAAACTTTAACAACAAATGTTGCAAGAGTCACTAGATTTTCAGTTGGATCTTCCATCGAAACATATAACCGCAGAACTCTGCTAGCTGTTGTCAGCCAGCGCGAGTGAACTACAGAACCTGGAGTCTTATTTGCCGGATTTATTGGGCATCCACCATTATTCACCGCGTGATACATTTTATATAAATACATTTGATCTGTGCTTGAATCTTTAAAATTTACATCTGGAAAACAATTCATCTCTATAGTTGAAAAATGCTTTACAGAAAATGTTTCACAGATTGGAAGTAATTTACCAATTGGACCTGAGAAAGCTTTTGGTCCATTTGTAGTGCCATCTAACTTGCACAAAAGATGTCTAAAAGGGAGCTCATTTGCATGAAGCATGCAAATGAACCAATGCAAAGGCCTATCGAGTTTCATCTCAAGTAAACGGATGACACCTCCCAACGCACCAGTGTTGAGATTCGTGCCATCACAACCGACAGCTACTAAATTGTCTAGTAAAATTACATTCGAATCACAGAAACCTATTATGCTATATGCTATCTTAACTGATGTTCCATTTTCAGGGCTTATGCGACCGACATATATTGAATGGGGCTCTTGAGTTAGTGTAACATGTTCTTCTGTAACTATTTTGTAATAACACTTGGAACCTTTCTTGAGTTGCATTTTTGTTTTGTCCTTCCTACCATCGAAGTACAAACCTGTTAGATTAGAGGCAAGGTGGACGTGAAGTTCATTTCTAACCTTCTGTCTTTTTCTTCGAATTTTACTTCTATTAATAACCATTGTACTGTAACAGTCATTCACGATACCAACGTCTTGCAACACCGCACTAGCAATGGCTGCAGTAGCACGATCTGAAATGCTATGGCGATCACATTCCTTCGAGATATTTGGAATGTTTGCTCTCATCTGTTTTTTCTCTGATGTTTCAATAGTTGGAACCTTATGTATTGATCGAAAATGGACATCAGTATCGTTGTCAGTTTCAGTATCAGAAGACGAACTGAATTCAACAATATTTGAAGACAATAGGGAGTTAGATGTAGTGGCTGTTGTTGGAGTTTTGTAAATATTGGAAAGTTTTCTTTTGCAATTATCGCGTTCTTTCAATCGATTTGTAGCAACTTTATCTATACTTCCAATCATCATATTTCTTGTACTTCTTTGATCTTCCAAAAATGGTCTTTTTGCAACTGGTACCTTGAAACTTTTCTCACAATTGCAGTGATTTATGTCCAAGCATTTGCGGACTGCGATGTCAAACAACTGGGAATTAGCTTCTGTACAAAACTTTTGCATCTTTGCTTGATAGTTAGGAATATTCTGTCGTCTCTTTAAGGGCTTGAGCATATTTCGATGTTTGCCATGAAGTTCTTTTATTGTCGCTACAATCCGCTTGTGTGTTATAATTAGAATCGATGCTTTGTGCCACAATGCTTCGACTTTCGATGAAACACAACTTAAAACTTCAGCAACTGAAGGGGTCTCTGCAGATCTATATGTCATTTCGTCTTTAAGGAACAAGTAATATTTCATCACATCAGCATTTGTGGGAAGAATGGTCTCTGGTAAACATGAAGGATTTCAAAAAATTGGGCAATTGGTACGCATCCGTGTCTTGTGCTTCTTACACCCACTAACACCAGCCATTCTTGTTATTTTTGTTCGGACGTCACTCACAGATGCGAGGTTGTTTGAATTTTCAAATCTAAAATAATTTTCTAATCTAAAATAATAATATAAAAATAAAATAATTAATTTCTAACATTATAGTTCAAACAAAATAATGTAAATACTGAAATTTGTAATTA